GTCTTTTTGAGACAGGGTCTCCCTGTAGCCCCAGCTGGCCTGGCACTCGTTATGTAGACCAGACTGGTCTCAGATCTCACAGAGATCCACCTGCCCCTGCCTCCCGAGTGCTGGGATCATAGGCATGCGCCACCACGCATGGCTAGTTACTTGGGATTATTTATGGAATCTTGGGATAAGCAGGAGTTTCTACACATCAGGAAAAACATAAGGAACATATAATCTACATAAAAATTTTAGAATTCCACCATGGTATGCAAGGCATAACATACACACATCTGTCCTCCCAGCACTCAGGAGACAGAGGCTGAAGGATTGCAAATTTTAGGCCAGTCTGGAGTTTCTAGGCCAGCCAGGGCTAGTGACACCTTGCCTTGAAAAATAAAAACGAGAAAATTTCTACCATATTTTCTTAAAATTTATTTTTATTTTATGTGTATGTGTGTATTGCATGCATGTGAGTGTGTGCCTGTGTCATGCAATGCTTGTGGAGGACAGAAGAAGGTGTCGGATCCTCTGGAACTGGAGTTACAGACAGTTGTTAGCTGCCATGAGGGGGCTGGGAATCAAACCTGGGTCCTCTGCAAGAGCAGCCAATACTCTTAACCATTGAGCCATCCCTCCAGCCCCAGTTTTTACCACACTAAAACAAAAAAAAAATCAGAAAACTGGGTACAAATGTTTTCAACATAAGTTCAACTCTTAATAGTCTTACCATATAAGAAGAAGAAGAAAAAAGCAATGGAAATACACAAAGAGCCAGGCGTAGTGGCACACACCTTTAATCTCAGCACTCTGGAGGCAGAGGCAGGTGGATCCTGGCTAGCCTGGTCTGTATAACAAGTTCAGGCCATCTGAGGCTACAGGGAGACTTTATCTTAAAAAGACCAAAAATAAAAAAAAATTAAGACCAAAAAAAAAAAAGAGAAAAATACATAAGGAGCATAAACAGATATATTTACAAAATAGAGATTAAAGACAGAGCAAGAAATTACTAAGTTAATGTAGCAAGTGGCTGACAAGATGCTGAGAGGGGTAAAGGCATTTGCTGCTAGGCCTGAGGACCTGAGTTCGATAAGCTCCTGGAAAAACACATAGTACACTCCTAGAACCCACAAGGTAGAAGGAGAAAATCGATTCCCAAAAGTTCTCTGACCTTCACACACTGGCCACAGCACATCTTTCCAAAAGAAAGAAAGATAGAAATGAAGACGTAAAAATAACAACAATAAACCAGGAAAAAAATACGCAGATCCACAGTACATTCTACTCTTTGATTTAGTCAACACACACACAGACACACAGACAAAATAATAAAATAAAAAACCCTCACATATAAATAGAAATTGAGAAAAGGAAAAAGGCTGGAGGAAAATATACCAAATTATTAACTGCAGTTAACAAGATTACTGGAATTAGACTTTTCAGAATTTGGAAGAAAATACCAACTGAGTCACTTTGTAAGCAGAAAACAAATAACTAAATGTTATTTGTTTTCTATCTTCAGTTACTTACTCAGTATACCCATTTGGCTATGAAATAGGCATCCCAAATTTATGTGTAAAATCAGTCGGTTCTCCCCTCAATCTTTCCCTTCCCTACGGTCTTTCTCATTTCAGAACGTGCTAACTGTATGAATCCAGTGGCTTAGGCCTAAATAATGGGAATCAGTTGACTGTTTCTCTCACTTTCCATATCCAGTCTGTCACCGAATCCTGTTGTGCCAGCTCTCCAAATGTGCCCAAATTTGATTGTTTCTTAGTACCTCAACTGTTACCAACCTAACTCCCCAGCTATCCACCCTGCTTCATACTCCCCACATAATAGCTTTTCCTCAACACAGAACCAGGGTAAGCAGCTTAAAAGGGTAGGTCAGCTTGCAACACGCCTTTGTTCAGATTATTCCACTGGCTTCCAAGCAGTCTTCCTCGTTGGCTCCCTCATCAGTGCCTTCTCATACATTAGCTCTCATATCAAAGACCAAAGACCTTTGTACCTGTGGTCCTTTGTTCTAGAATGCTCTCCCACAAATCCATTTGTATTTCTCACTCAATGAGAGAACCTTGACCATTCTATCCAAAGGCAGTCCTTCCTGCCCTGCTCTACTGCTCTCTTTGCTTTACTTCCTCTTGCATTCCCAGTGCCTTTCATAACATTTAGGAAGTCTGCTGATAGCTCATCTATTTTGCTCTGTGTTTATTTTTATGTCTTCTGGATTTTGAGAATGGCTATACAGTTCTACAATCAGAACTCAAATAGTGCTTGAAGGGAAAATGTTGATGTACTCTCTCTCTGTGTGTTTGTGTGTGTGTGTGTGTGTGTGTGTGTGTGTGTGTGGAGGGGGGTGTGATCAAGACAGGACTCTAGTGCCCTCTTGTCTGAAAAGCAGGCACCTGCAATGGCTGCTCACATCCAAATGTGAGTCCTTATACAGGGAACTGACCTAAACCTCTGACCACTTATGAAGGTCTAGCTATTATTTCCTATAGCCTAATAATCTTACTTATAAGAGGACATATTAAGCCCCAGAGTAGTTTTTAAATACTACTTAATTCTTAAGAATTAAGATAATTCTTAAATGTTAAGAATTATCTGCAGACATTTGATTCAAATCTTTTTAAGCACAATACAAACTTCAATGAGCAAATTAGATACTCATGAGCTCTTGCCACCCTGAAGACATCAGGCAGGGGCTTTGTGCAGACCAGATTGAGTATGAGTTGGAGACTGTGATATGAACCTGTTAAAAAAAACCTCAAATTTGGGGATGGAGAGATGGCTTAGTGGTTAAAAGCACTGGCTGTTCTTGCAAAACACCTGGGTTTGAATCCCAGCACCCACATGGCCGCTAACAACCATTCATAACGCCAGTTCAAGGGGATCTGATGCCCTCTTCTGTTCTCTGCAGGCATTGCACAACACAGGTGCACTTGCATACATGCACACATGCTTATACATAAAATAAGAATAAACGAACACCCCAAACTTTCCTTTTACAACCCTGTATCTTTGCATGTTGAAACTTCCTGAATGTTACACACAATACAAAGTGTAGTCGATGTTAAGGTTTGTCAGCACTGCAGCTGCCTTCAAATGTCTGTGTTCATCTAAAAAACACCAGACTGAATTAAAAAGTAGAAGTTATGAATATGAAGTTCTGATTTGGGTTTCCGGCAGGGCTCTTTAACCTTAACACTACTGACATTTTGGGCCAGAAGACTTCCGAGTTATTTTTCTGTGCTGTGTTCATTAGCATGCCTGGCTTCTAACCGCTAGGTGGCAGCAGAGACAGGCAAAATGGTCTCCAGACAAGGTCAAAGCCCCCCCACCCCCCCCACCCCCAGCCACGCGCACAGCGAACACCCCCCCCCCCCCCCCCCCCCAGCAAGGCAGCTCCCAGTGAGAACACTTTCAGTTATCCTTTTGTGTCTGTGGGGACTGGCTCCAGGATTCCACCTGGATGTCCAAATCCAAGGATGCTTAAGTCTCTTATATAAAACAGCAGCATATCATCTCCGCACATCTCCCTGTATGCTTACTTATCATACCTAATATGATGAAAATACTGTGCAAGTAGCTCCTACAATACACTAAGGACTAGAGCCAAGAAAAAAAGTTTCTACATGTTCTGTACAGATGCAGTTTTTTTTCCTGAACATTTTTGATTTGTTACTAGTTGAATCCATGAATGCAGAACCCACGGATAGAGAAAGTTGATTTTACTGCATTTACTTATTTTTACATTGGAGTTCTGTATAGTAATTTTGTTGATTAAACTGGGGTGATGCCTTAGTCAGTAAAGTGCTTGCTTCACAAGCATGAGGACCTGAGTTCGATATCTAGCATCCTTGTCGAAAAGATGGGTGCAACAGTATGCACCTGTAATCTGAGCTTTAGGCAAGTGGAGGCAGGTGGATCCCTGGGGCTTGCTGGCCAGTCAGTCTAGCACAATTGGTAAGCTTCAGGGTCAGTGAGAGACCCTTTCTCAAAAAATAAGGTGGACAGCTAGTGAGGAAGATACCTAACACACTGACTTCTGGCCTCCATGTACAAATGCAGACACATGTGTACACACACACACACACACACACACACACACACACACAAATTTCAGACTCACAGCTTGATTCTAGTTCAGGAGCTAACTAACCCTACCTAACCCTTCTGATCAGCAATTCTTCTGCTTAAAGATAACAACACTTAAAACAACACGTACACTGAACTAGGTGAGACACTTTAAGTAGTAGAAACTTCACAGATGTTCTACAGACCAAATCTGCTGCTGCTGTTAAAGTCTCAGTAGGCCAGGCCTGTAGGTTCTAACCTGATCTCTGGAGATTCTTTCGGTAGCCACTAAGGTTCAGTTGAGTGATGGTCTCTGATACATGTGCAACAGCCATTTGCACATGTTTTTCAGTAAAGTCAAAGCACCAGGACAGGTTCAGCTCATCCAGTCTGCACAAAAGAAGGGTAATGAGGAAAGCATGAGCCCAGTGGAATGTGTCTCAAGTTACACATATAAAAATATAAAACCAGGCAAGCATATTGGCGCATGCCTTTAGTCCCAGCACTCGGGAGGCACAGGCAGGTGGATCTTTGTGAGATCAAGGCAGCCTGGTCTACATAGCAAGTGCCAGCTGAGGCTATAGGGAGACCCTGTCTCAAAAAGACATTATATATATATATAACTAGATTCCTTACCATTTCATGCACATATGTTCTGTCTAGCTAGCTTTACCATCTGCAACTGCCTTCTCTCATCTAAACACACCTCCCTGTCCCTATGTTATCTCTGAAAGTTGTTAGCAAGTGATCTGAGCAAAGGCCATAACAAATACTGCCCCCTTCTGGAAATGAAGGGAAGCCAAACTTTACTGTAGGACTGCAGGTGGAAAATTGTAGCATGTCTGTTTTCTCAAGTAGGGTGTTGTCAAAAAAAAAAAAAGAAATCAAAGATGTTTTATAAAACCCATAGATTGATTCCTAATAAGAGAGATACAAATACAATAAAAATCTACTTCATCTACTTTCTCTTCATCTTCTTTTTCTGACAGGGCGGCCAATGAATGTCAAAGACAATATCCAATCCCCCCACTACTCCTAAGTAAATATAGTTATATATATATATATACACACATATATACAGTTATTATTTTAAATTTTTATTATTTTGATTTTTTTATGTGTATATATTTATTTCCTGCATGTATGCAAGTGCACCCATGGAGGCCAGAAGAGGGCGTCAGATACCCTGGAACTGAAGTTATAGACAATTGTTAGCTGCCATGTGGGAACCCAATCCAGGTCCTCTGCAAGAGCAGCCAGTGCTCCTAATGGCTTAGCCATCACTCCAGGCCCCTAGTTCTGGTATTTTTAACTGGCTTCTGATGATGACTAACCAAAGTCTTGATGAAATTTCATTCTTTTTCATTTTTAGTTATTGGAAAGGTTACATAAGAAGATGAAATAAAATGCACATAGTAAATATTTTTAGGTGGACTAGAGATCATATAGATTCAA